CGTTAGCCCCAACGGCTTGCTGCAAACTAGCGCTCGCTGTGGCTGTTCCAAAGGCGGCTGAGGAGCAGCACGCTGTACATCCAAGCATCGCTTGGGCCTCGTGACGGTGGCTGAAGCACAGCCTAGTCTTGTCTCTGTGGTGCGTTAGGCTTGCTTATTCTGTCATATCTCAGAGAATTACGCAGGTGGAGCGTGGACTTGGCATCTTTCCCAATTTCATTGTCAGCCGTGAGAAAATGCCGAGGCAAACGTGAGAGTGCACCGCGCTGCTGAGGGCAGGGGGCCTGCTGGCAAAACGCAGCCCCTGGATCTGCTCACTGGAGCGGTGTCAAAGATTGAGACGCCCATGTGGCAGGATGTTAATAGCCATTGCAAACCTGTTGTTTGCCCCCCCCGCTCCCCCCTCCGCTCCGCCATGGTCAGGCCAGGGAGCCCTCCTGCCCCTTTGAAACAGACCAGCTCCACTTGTTCATGCAAACCGGGGTGACAAAGGGATGGGTTCAGCATCCTTTTTGTGCTAGAACATCCCCAAAGTCAATTTTCGGGAAAGCTGGTCCAAAAGCATGACCTCTCACGTGTGTGCGATAGTGGCAGTATCCTGGTGGCTGAGAATTTACAATCAAGATGTTGTGGAAATTGGCGTGATTTTTTAGGTCCTACAGCTATGATGGTTTAATCTTTTCTTGTACTGGCTCTTTCTCTTCTTCTCTGAAACCACTGTTGCCCACCCTTCCTGGGATTTCCAGTGGACTTGCTATGGCAGATACAACTGAAATTTGAGAACTATTTCTTTACTGAGAGGAGGACAATTCTAACTTTGCAGCATGTTATGATACTCACCTGTCTGGTGAGTAGCAATAAATGTAGACATGTTCTTCTTTTAAAAGATGATAATTCAAGTCTAAGATTGCTAACTGAGCATCTTTAAGACTGTCATCTCCCTTAGTCTTTTATGTTGGTTTTAACAACCTGTCTGGGAATAGCTGAATGCTGTGTTTAGTACACAGGCACACTTAACCATCTTTCATACCCCTCAAGCCATTGTTATGACAGAGCACAACAATATTGATTATTCATTTGTTCAAGCTAAATAGCAGCGAGGCAGACGACTGCATTGAGATTGCTCTGGCTGTGTCAGAGTCCCATATGCTCTGATCAGCTCCTTTTAGATATTCCACATGTGCAGGGTGTAAAGTGTAATGTCAAATTCACTTACTTGAAGATAATTGATGCTAGATACTTCCTCTAGCAGTGTGATACAAAATATACTGAAATCACAAGACAAATGTAAGTTACACTTAGCAAGAATAAAACAGTTGCAATGTACAGTTCAATCACAGTATTGATGTGATCTGTATAATATACTCACCATCAGGATGCTGGGTGTCCCTAGTCACTGGAAAGGAATATGTGGGTTGAATCCAGCTAAAGCCCGTTGCTATCTCCAAAAATCTTCTGTTAATTGTTTAGTTTTTATAATTTCAGTTGTGCTGAGTCATGTGTACACTCCTCCCCATGCTGGTGTGGCTAAACCAGGGAGACAGTCACTCTCTTTTAATTAACTCGGGGAGAAATAGTTACGCTACCAGCTGACGCACGCAGCTGACATAGCTGCTTATCTAAAATAAAGGCCACCTTCCAGCCCTCTCTGTGTTGAGATAAAGTCAGCATTCTTTGCAACACCTGTGGACAGTCACAGCCTGCATTATTCCCTGAGCTTCATGGGCATGTCACTCTTGCCTGTCCCCTCTGAGCCTTCTTCCTTTACAGGGGCTTATCGGTCAGTCACATGCTGGTAGGTCTTGTGACACTGCAGCAGTGTGTTGGGAAAACGCTGGCGTTGCAGCAAGGCATCGATTGTGTATTTGACTGACAGAGCTGTGCCATGACCATATAAGGACATATAAGAGCAGGCCTGCCTTTTTAGGTTTGCAGTGCAAAAGCTTGCAAATGAAAGGCTCTCTTTTCAATGTCTAGAACCCACATCCTCCAGTTTCTCACAACCAGGTTTCCAATGATACTGGGGGATCAAATGGATTAAAACATGGGATTTCAAAACAAAGCCAAACCCCTCCAATGTCTTGTCTGCCCAAACCTTCAACTCCCCTGAAAATCAGAGCCAATTTGTGAGGGACCTGACAATTTTACCATACCACAACAGATGGTGTGACTGAAACTGCACATTAAATACTTTCTACTTGGGGTTATACTTAGAAAGACTCATAGATCATCGGTGCTGGATGGCCACCTTCTCTCCTGCCCTCAGGTATTTCCTCAGCGTGCTAAAATATTGCAGCCTGTTCAGCTTGAGCTGCTGAGCAGCCTGTCACGTGAAGACTCCCAGTTCCCTTGCCAGTGGACTGGCCATCCATCGCATCAGGCTATCAGGGATGGGGCCTTACCCTCCTGGGCTGATAGCAGTGTGTTTCAGTGACAAACGCATGTCACTGGAAGCTGAATTTTATGCAGTGACATGCTATCACATCAGTGGAACCCCACAGGGAATGGTGATGTAAAAATTAACCTCAGGCACATTTGGTCGCTCTCGGTAATATTGAGGGGGTGGGCGTGGTACGTCTCTTCTCACTGAATTGGTGATCACAAGGTGCAATCATCTCACTGGTACCTTACTGTTAGGGAGTAGGCAAGATCATTCGCAGTAATTTACTATTTCATCGCTGTAGTGAAAAAAGAGACCTTTCAGACGGTCTGGGATATGAAAATGAACAGGTGGGCAAATGGAAGCTGCTTCTGCGTTTTGTCCTTGAGGACAAATTCTGGGAAAAAGAAGGATGCATGTGACATATTCAATGGCATGGCTACTTTCAGAAAGAACATACTAGAGGCAGTTTGGGTACAAAGCGCACTGAGGTTTCTTTTCTCTTGGAGTAGATGTGCCATTTTGTGGACTTTTTGTTTTCCTCCCAGATACTCATCAAACGTCAGGGATTTTCTGGTCTTCGTATTCTCTCAGAGTGTTGTTTTATCACTGGCATGACTTGAGCTTATTCATGAAGCATTGCTGCTTAGACCTCAATCTTATAAGTCAGTTCCAAATGAAGACCTGAAATTAAGTCGTGAGCAAAAGTCAGCAGTTTTTTTTGAAGGAGGAAATTGCAGGAAAAGCCAGAAGGCACTTGGGCCACAGCTCTGGCTTTCAAATTCAGTTTTATGTCAGGCAGCTAAAATTAATCTGCAGTATCACTTTACCTCTGATTCTGGGTTGCCTGCCTTGATCCGGGTGACTCATTGGTCATTCAAAGTGAGATGAAAGCTTATGCAAGGTCTCCGTTGGAGAGGAAAACACTTGCAGCTCTGATCGCTTTCAACCAGGTAGAGCAACAGTTGCTCTGCAAGACCACGTGAAGAAAACCTGTAACAGTTCCTAGCAGGGACGGGGCAATGATGATCGAAAAACTTCAGGCATGAAAAGGGGTCAGTTTCTAGCTACCAGTGTAATTCACCTGGTGAAGACCCAGGCCGTGTTGCATGCTATAGCTGCTATTGACTGAGAGTGGCTGATCAGGTACCCTGGTTTGAGCTTGGACCAATCCTGAGAGCTAGACAGCTCTGAATGCTGGCAAACTCATTCATTCTCCTAGAGCTGTTAGATTTGCAGTTGTCTTTTAATTACCTCCCTTTCCTTTCACCTTCCAGAGCCCCCTTTGAGGGCCTACGTGTTACGTTTTGGAATCCTTTTGATAAAGTATCTTTGTTTACGTGATTGGAAGGAGCACAATTCTGAATTGGGGTGCACTACTCACAGACTGCTTGGTTTATGATAATGTATAATCAGTGTGAAAAGGTATTTTATCTTCAGCTGTTGGGCAATCCAGGAAAAAACAAAACAGAACAATGATATCGAGCTAGCTAGCCAAATAATAGCTGATAACATTGATCTGTGTGAATTTTGACAGCTGGAAGAGGAACTTTGTCATCTTGCAGGTGTATAAACTGCTAGTGGAGAGACCACAGCCTCATACTGAAGGCATCATGCAAGTCCTTCTCCTGCTCGCAGCTATAGGGTTTTGCTGGGCACAGTATGACCCCAATACTCAGGCTGGGAGGACGTCTATTGTACATCTCTTTGAATGGCGCTGGGTGGATATTGCTCTTGAGTGTGAACGCTATTTAGCGCCTAATGGATTTGGAGGCGTTCAGGTAAGTTGTTGCCTGTAAGTAGGTAGGCAAATCGCACTGTAGCATGTGATTAATAAATCAAAAAGCCTGAATCAGAGACAGCCGGCTCCAAGTAACTTTGGTGTTGGAAGTAGAGGCCGGGGGGGGTGGAAGTAGTAGAGCCTGCAGGGCCAGCCAGTGACATTGTATCTCCAGCAGGTCAGTTACAAAGGGGCGTGCTTTCCTCTGAAACGCTTCCCCTGCAAAGCTAAGTTTTCCTCTTTACCTTGTCCTGAGGGAAGTGCATAAGCACTGAGTTTTGGATTTCCCAAGGATGCCACTATTCCAGGTAAAAATAATTCCTGTGTCTTCAGCCCTCCAATGCATGTGTCCTTGAAAGCAGGCCCATGCTGGACCTGGGCAGCCCACAGGAAGAAAAGAAAGCTTTCTTGCCTGTCTGGTAGATGGACATCTCCCAGACCTGAGCTTATGCTGTGGGAGAGAGACTGGCTTGGGCACTAGCCTTCCTCTGAGGGCAGAGGTGCTGAGCGCAGATTTTGCCCTTAAAAGGTTGAAATAAACCCAACTGATTTCTTATCAATGTGCACAATTTCATCTGCAGGTTTCACCTCCAAATGAAAATATTGTCATTACTAACCCGAACAGACCCTGGTGGGAGAGGTACCAGCCTGTCAGCTACAAGCTCTGTACTCGATCAGGAAATGAAAATGAATTCAGAGACATGGTGACCAGATGCAACAATGTTGGAGTAAGTGCCTTGAAAATCTGTATCTGATATGGCAAGAAGTGCTGTATCAGCTGAGGGAAGTTATTGCTACTGTCCTCAAAGGAGGCATAAACTGAAGGGGGAAAAAAAGGTGGAACTAATAGTGATGTGGTAAAGCTCTGGCTATCACTTCACCATCATTACAAAACATACTGAAATGCACTTACTGCTTTTCCAGGTTCATATTTATGTGGATGCTGTTGTCAACCACATGTGTGGGGCTGCAGGTGGCTCAGGCACGCATTCTACTTGTGGAAGCTATTTTGATGCTGGGAACAGAGATTTTCCAGCTGTGCCATACTCTGGCTGGGATTTCAATGATGGCAAATGTCAAACTGGAAGTGGAGAAATTGAAAATTATGGCGATATATATCAGGTAACTTTCTCTGGCAAAAGTTTGAAATCTTTTTTCCTTTTTTTTTTTTTTAACCTGTTCCATAAACGTTACAGTAAGGCCAAAGGGAGTAGTTTCTCATAAAACCTGTGCTTAGTCATCTGACAAGTGACAGAAATAGTGAAAATAGGTACAGGAGGGGTACTCGTGGTGCAAAATATTTTCAGGACTGAGAAATCAAGGACCCTCCCGCATGTTTCACGTCGGCATGTATGTCGGCAGTTTGCTCCTGAACTGGGCCCAGTGTACTCAGCTCAGCTGGTGAGCTCTTTCTTGTAGCTTGTAAACTCAGCTGATCTTGAGAATGAGCCCCCCCGCCCACCTCCCTGGAAAATGATAGCAGTGCAAGACGGTACCCTGGTTGAGTGACTTTCTCTTTTTGTAGATGGAATGTGTGGCAGTACTTTCTCAAGGTTACTGCTCTTCCTTTGGCCACTTTGTTACAATAGACCATGCTGTTTCTCATTCTCAGTTCTGATGACACCTGCACAGGGAGGTGATATCCTTCACCAAATGTCATAACTTGAGTATTGAGCTGTACAGTAAATTTACCTATGTCTTGGTGCAGACTGTTATGGTTTAACCCCAGCCAGCCATTAAGCACCACACAGCTGCTCACTCGCCCCCGCCATGGCAGAATAGGGGAGAGAATTGGAAGAATAAAAGTGAGAAAACTTGTGGGTTGAGATAAAGACAGATTAATAGGTAAAGTAAAAGCCACACTTGCAAGCAAGGCAAACCCAGGACTTCATTCACCACTTCCCATGGGCAGGCAGGTGTTCAGCCATCTCCAGGAAAGCAGGTCTCCATCACGCATAGCGGTTACTTGGGAAGACGAATGCCCTAACTCCAAACGTCCTCCTGCCTCCTTCTTCTCTCCCCCGCCAGCTGTATACGCTGAGCATGATGTCATATGGTCTGGAATATCCCTCTGGTCACTTGGGGTCAGCTGTCCTGGCTGTGTCCCCTCCCAGCTTCTGGTGTGAGAAGCAGAAAAGGCCTTGGCTCTGTGTAGACACTGCTCAGCAATAATGAAAACATCCCTGGGTTATCAACACTCTTTTCAGCACAAATCCAAAACATAGTCCCATCCTAGCTACTGTGAAGAAAATTAACTCTATCCCACCCCAAACCAGCACATTCTCCACCCTTTATTCCATACCATTTACGCCATGCTCAGGTACCACACTATCCAATACAACCTCATTAGCCACCACCACCCTCCTCATCCTTTAATATATACACAGATATCATTCCCTTAGTCTGTGGACCACCCCCTGTAAAATGTCTTTAAAATGTCCACAAATGTCCATTGAGTCCATTTAGTCCATGACTTTGGGCTCCATCTGTTATGGTGGTGTTGTCGTTTAACCCCAGCCAGCAACTAAGCACCACGCAGCTGCTCGCTTACTCCTCTCTCTGCCAACCAGTGGGATGGGGGAGAGAATTGGAAAAAAAAAAAGTAAAACTCATGGGTTGAGATAAAGATAGTTTGATAGGACAGAAAGGCAGAAAATAATAATAATGATAATAATCAAGTGACAATAATAACAACAATAATGATATAATAATAATATAATAACAACAACAATAATAATAACAATAGAATTGGAATATACAAAACAAGAGATGCACAATGCAATTACTCACTGACCGATGCCTAGTCAGGCCCTGAGCAGCGATCTGCCCCTCCCCGGCCAACTCCCCCCCTCCAGTTCCTATACTAGATGTGACATCACATGGTATGGAACATTCCTTTGGCCAGTTTGGGTCAGCTGCCCTGGCTGTGTCCCCTCCCAAATTCTCGTGGCCCTCCAGTCTTCTTGCTGGCTGGGCGTGAGAAGCTGAAAAAATCCTTGACTAAGTATAAACACTACTTAGCAATGACTGAAAACATCAGTGAGTAATCAACACTCTTCTCATACTGAATCCAGAACATAGCACTATACTAGCTACTAGAAAGACAATTAACTCTATCCCAGCCAAAACCAGGACAGGTAGTCACTCAAGACAGGAGAGATGGCATGTTGTGTGATTATTGGGTACCAAAACCAGCTCAGTTTGGGTCACTGCTGCACTTGCACTGCTTCTTGTAAGGCTTGTCGTCCATTTGTTCAGGTGGTTCCTGCTGTGGGAGCGCCTATAACATGCAACTCAAATCTCGGGTTCCAACAATTTAAAGGTATTTCCATTACAATCTCCACCCCTGGTCCCTTTGGACCACGCCATAGGGTTTAACATTGCAATGAACTCCTGCCCTTGCCCCTGTTCTGGCTTGGACTTCTCCACAGACTGCAGTTTCTTAGGGTTGTACCTGCTCCATGTGGAGTCTTATCTATAAGCCACAGTCTCCTCAGGGGTACACCTGCTGCGGCATAGACTCATCCACAGCCACAGTCACTTTGAGGTGCACCTGCTCCAGCATGACCTTACCCACAGCCACAGTCTTCTCGGAAGTAAACCTGCTCGGACATGGCCTTAGCCATGGCTGCAGTCCCTCCAGGGGAGTACATCCTCTGCCGTGGGCTTATCCATGGTCACACACTTTGAGGTGCTCCAGCATGACCTCATGCACAGCCACTGATGCTTCAAGGTGTACCTGCTGCAGCATGGACTTATCCACAGCCACAGATGCTTTGAGGTGTACCTTCTCCAGCATGGTCTTATGCTTGGGCCACAATCCCTTCAGAGGTATACCTGCTGCGGCACAGACATAACCATGGCCACAGATGCTTCGAGATGTACCTGCTCTGGCATGGGCTTATCCATGGCCACAGAGGCTTCGGGGTGTCCTGCTCCCACATGGACTCATCCACAGGTCACGGTCCCTTCGACTCAAGTTCACACTGGAGTTTCAGCCTGTCCAACACAGCAGCACAGAAACAGCAGCGATGGCCTGGCCATCTGCCAGGCCAGGCACGTTGCCATTGCTGTCAGCAAATTGTTCCCAGGCACAGTAGAGTAAGATGATAAGCAGTACAGCAAGCAGCAAAACCAAAAAAAAAGCAGCCACTAACGAACACTAGAGTCTAATATACAGTAAGGCAAGCAAGCCCCATGGCAAGCACAGGAGCCTGCCAATTAATAGCTAAACAGCAATCACAGCTATAAATTCGACCTAGCACATTCCAATCAAACCTGTCATTATCTCAAATCCTTCGGGTCCCACATTGGGCGCCAAAAAGGACTGTTGTGGTTTAACCCCAGCAGGCAACTAGAGCACCACACAGCCGCTCGCTCACTCCCGCCATGGTGGGATAGGGGAGATAATCGGAAGAGTAAAAAAGTAAGACAACTTGTGGGTTGAGATAAAGACAGTTTAATAAGTAAAGCAAAAGCC